TTTCATTTTTGGGTGAACTAACCCTTTAATATGGCTAAATACAACTTGCTGCTCACAAAGTTCAACAGAGATAAATCGGAGGAATCAGTAACACTTGTGGAAAACAATTTTCCAACATTTTTATTTGATTTATCTAAATTAAAATATTTGTCAAGATAAATTGGAGGAATCTAATAACACTTGTGGAAAACAACCAACGCACACACACAATCAACTTCAGGCACACATAACATATACACCTCACAATTTAATTTAAAATAATAATAATAATAATAATATATTTAAAAAAAAAAACTACATATAGAAATCTTTTAGAATTCTTTTTTTTTGATAATCTTAACTGAGCAACATCAGAATACTAAATCATCTCCTTAAAGCTTAAAATTTATATGGATTAATAAGTTATCATATATATATGGCAAGGTGATGTCCCAGTGTACACCACAGTTGTCCTGTGCAAGAGCTAATGCTGTGTTTGATTACTGCCTTTTTTTGGTTTATTTGAAGTGCTAGCATGCGGTGAAGTGGGCTTTAAAACTCACTGTGTCTTCCCTGCAGAGCCATCAAAAGCTGATAATATTGTCTGTTTCCATCTTGCGACAGAGGGCAATTGTTAGCTGAGCGCAGAAGCTCATGAGAATGATATTATACTGATTGCAAGAGACGTAGGGGAGATATTGCGACGTTGTGTCTCAGAAATGTGGGTCAATGAAAAACTCTACAGAAGGTCTTAAAGGAAATTTGCCTGTCAACCTCACTGCTGTTTGTTGATGCAGTATTAAACCTTTTCATATTAAATCAAATAGATTTGCTGAGAAACCATTTTAAGATGCATTTATGAGTATGCGTGCATTTTTTTTATTGTAGTAACTCCCACAAGGATACCGTCAAGTTCAGTTTTAATAGAAAAATCATTTTAATACATATAAAACAGTATATAAACAGTAAACTGTTTATGGGTTGTCATTCCTGACAGAGCATTCCCTACTCATCCTCATTAATTGAACATCCTTGAGCTTAAATGCTTGACAAGACACAAACAATTTACGTAGAACTTCCCTAAATGTATTACATTTAAGACATTTGTTGCCAAAAAAGTAGAGCACTTTAGCGCATTAGAATCTAATTAGGGAATGACTAACCTGAGATGATTGAATCTTACATTACTATTGACTGAGGGATTGTGTAACCAGTCAATATGGGGAGAAGCTAAATAACAGTTCAGTAGTGCCCTGAGAAGGGAGTCTATTCAGTTTCATCTCTCCTGTGCTGATTGATCTGTCTCTCCATACCCTCTGATCCAACCCGCCCAGTCAATGACAGTTGTCTCTGTGGACTCTGAATCATTGGCAGGGAAACTGCGGTTCAAACTAAGTTTTGGCACAGAGGTATTTCAATCTGTTGAGGGCTTGTGGGGTTTTTCTATTTTAGAAGAGAAGATACTTGGCAAAAGACAATAAAAAATACAATAGTAAAGTATATTATTGATCAGGAAATATTAACAGTGTTTTTTTTTTCTTCAGAAAACCATATTGAAATGTGTTGGGGAAAAAATGAATACTTTTATTCATTAAGGATGCATTAAATTGATCAAAAGTGACAGTAAAGACATTTATGATGTTGCAGAAGATTTCTATTTCAAATAAATGCCATTCTTTTGAACTTTCTATTCATCAGAGAATCTTGAAAAATATTTAATTGAATAAATACTCACTTATTCACTTTCATTTGCCATTGCACTAAAGACAAAATAAATAAATAAAATATTATTTTCCATTTCTATTGTGTTAAAGGCAGAGTAAGTGATTTTTCAAAAACGCTTTAAAAACTGATTCGGGCCGAATCGCAAAACAAACTTGTAGCCAATCAGCAATAAGGGGCGTGTCTACTCATGATGTGGAGGAGAGCGCGTTCAGTGCATGGGACGGACATTAGCCGAGCCGAGCGACAGAAAGATAGAGATGGCAGCAGTTTTCTGTCGGGATTTGTTGAGCCGCGCCGCTTACGTCCGTAGACACGGTGTAACATTGGTTTTGCTTTGTTTCACAGAACTAATCGTTGCCTGGGTTGCGTACGTATGTGTGGGGCGGAGCTATCAAAATAGGGGCAAGACCCTTTTGGGGTAGGGGCGTGTTTGTTTTGGTGATTTCAAATATAAACATTGGCTACCAGAAATCCCTTACTCTGCCTTTAAGTTAGTGTAACTTTTACCAAAAAGGTAAAACCATCTTTTTTTTTTTACCATCTTAAATTCAGATGTATTTGTGTACTACTTCTTAGTTTTTCCCCAGAAAGTCGTATTTAATTTTTTGAATTTCTCAAATTATCAGCAGACCCCGTAGCAGCCCTCTGGAGCCTATGCAGTCTGTCCTCAATGTAATCCAATTTTAACTTTAGTCTTACAGAACTAGAGTTTTGAAAATTGGCTCTTTGTAAACATGACTTTGTTTCGTGCCGGATTAATACAATCTAAGGGTTTAAGTTTTGGTGGGCATTAGCATGACCCCATTAGTCCCCTCTGCTACTGTAGATACTGTCTAGATACACTATCTAGACGCAAAAAGCATATTTCGACATTCACGACCATTCAAAAGAAGCAGTGGATGGACTGTATATGACTCTATTAACTTTCATATGACTCTCCAGTCCTACTGTATAATACTAGCATTTAATTCAGAGCATTTACAGTCAGTGGTTATACACTTGCCAGTATAATGATCAATTGTTTTCGTTCAAATACATCAGCAGTGATGCATTACACAACACTTTCAGCAATGAGAGGGTTAGTAAGAAAACTAGTGGGGATTTTTGAGTGTCTGCTTGAATATGGGCCAACAGAAATCGAAAGAAATGTGATGGGCCCTGGAGAGGGCATATCTCTGTTCATTAAGCCTTGTGGATGAAAGAGAATGAATTGCATAAGACTTTGGTGTTAACTATCCAATTACAGCTGTGGTTGTTTCAACAATTGTCTAATTTGATGTCTTGCTAAAATGTGCAGTTCTTGCATTGTTCACTTATACTTTGCTGATGTGTTTAACAAGATGTAGAGAAATTAAAACGCACCAGGTGTTTTCTTACGTAGAATGGGACATGGTGTTTTATGCAGAGAGGAAGCAAAATTACATTACCTAAACCCAGACATTTAATGCTGTGTTTTAGGAAGTCCAGTCTGAACCTTTTAGCCCTCTTCACAATTAGCAGGTCAGTGATGGGCACTCCATTATGAGGTAATTACTACAGAGTTACAGTGATACCATTGCAAAGTGCCTGAGCAAGAGCTCTCAGCTACCAAAAACGGATGTGATCAGTCACAGGCCAATCAATTGTATTGCTTTCAGACAGTCTATTGCAGTCAATGGGATTATAAAGAACTACATCATAGCACATACATTTCCGACCATTCCCCTCGCCTAATTTGATTGCCGTTGAGCTCACTTTGCACACCACTTAAACAAGATCAATACTCGTTTACAGCCCTGCTTGATTTACAAGGCAATTTGGAGCAATTATTCAATTCAGTTTTAACCCCACCTCTGCAGAACATTAACAAACTCCACTTCCCATTTAGGATATCATTATTGTCAATAATTTGATGAGTGCTTAACCTTTAACCCATAACCATCTGCCTGAAATGTGTCATAACTGAATACCTAATATGTTTTAAAGGGGTAATTTGCCACTGATGATTCAAACAGGAGTTTTGGGCAGTGTAGAGTAGTGCTTGTTGTTTGTCGTTTCTCCGATCACAAATGCAGACATGGTTTTATGTTTACGCGGCGCGATGCAACGCAACGTGAAAAAAAGACAGTATAAGTCATTATAATCCGTAATTATGTCCCCACTGGATGCAACAAATGCCTCGTTTATAATGGGTTTTAATGTTTTTGTCTCGTCGCTCCGGCCGGGACACGCCATCACAGTATGGCTCGCTTTTCAGACTGATGAGCTTTGTAAAAATTGACGCGTTTCAGAAAGGCGGGGCAAAGAGGAGAAACAATAATGTACAGTATGTGGAAAATAATGTGTTTTTTGAACCTTAAACCGCATAAACACATTTCATTACACTAAATACACAAAATAATGTTCTTGTTAGCAGCATCATATTACCCCTTTAAAAACAATTCACAGGTCTAGCAGTCAGAGGCGTCATGCTCATTCAAACCGAGGGGGCACGTGCCCCCTCAGATTTTCAAGCCAAGTGGATTTGGACTGCAGCTTCCAAAAGACAAAAATATCCGAATAATATTTTTTATAATTGATACAATCACACGGGTGTGATGTGCGGCACATCACTAGCTGCTAAATTCAAATCTGCATTCGCTGACTGGGGCTGGGACAGATGCGTTTTTACAGCGCTGCGCATTATAACCAATCACACATGATTCTGTTGAACTTATGAATGCAATGGCCAATCAGAGGCGTTCAGATGAGTCATCACTAAAACAACGGAGTTTTGTT